ATCACGAAGCATCGCGCCAGTGTCGCGGTCGTGAAATCGCGGGATCTCCACTGGGGTTTATTGGCTACTAAAGATCATAAGGACATTTCTCTGGCATCGCTGAGGCTCCTGCTTGTCGCAGACGGTGCGAACCCGTGGTCCCTCTCATCCTGCGACCAGTTTCTCTCAGTGTTTCAGTCTAAAGGACTCAGACCAGACGCTGTTTGTCCTTGCGCCTCTTCCAGCGAGGCTCTCACAGTCTCTGTGAGAAGGCCGGGACGTGCGGGAGTGAACGCAACTGGTCGCGGGGTTCTCTCCATGTCTGGATTGAGCTATGGAGTTGTAAGAGTGGATCAGGAGAACTCTCTCACATCGTTGACGTTACAAGATTGCGGACAAGTTATGCCTGGAAGTGAGTCTTGCATTGATAATTTTGTATATTTTATTTTTGTGATACATTTATAATGAGAATTTGTTTTATTCTTTACAGGCATTGTAGTCGTCATTAAGATGGAGGGACAACCGTTTATTTGTAAGACGGACGAAGTTGGCGAGATTTGCGTGCACAGCTCAGCCACCGGTAGCCAATATTGGGGCTTGCAAGGACTCACCAACAACACTTTTAAGGTGTCGCCTTTACAAGCTGATGGTACTGCCTTAGGTGACGTAGAATACTCACGTTCCGGTCTGCTGGGTTTTCTTGGTCCCGGAGGACTTGTCTTTGTCTGCGGATCACGTGACGGTCTCATGACAGTGACCGGCAGAAAACACAACGCCGATGATATTATCGCCACTGTGCTGGCAGTCGAACCGATGAAATTCATCTATCGCGGTAGAATCGCCGTTTTCAGCGTGAGGGTCCTGCGAGACGAAAGGATATGCGTCGTTGCTGAACAGCGGCCTGACTGTAGCGAGGAGGAGGTGCGTTTCAGAGTTGAATATTATAAAAAAAGGACAGGAAAACTTGCAGTTTGTTGTTTACTAAAATTGTGCTTGTTGGAAACCGGATACAGATATTCTTAGAAGTTTTTTTTTTTTTTTAACTTTTTGCAGAGTTTCCAATGGATGTCTCGAGTGCTGCAAGCGGTCGACTCGATTCACGCGGTAGGAATATATTGCCTTGCCTTGGTGCCACCCAATTACTTACCCAAGACGCCGCTGGGCGGCATTCATCTGTCGGAAACGAAACGCCGCTTCCTCGAGGGCACTCTGCACCCGGCGAACGTGCTCCTCTGTCCTCACACCTGCGTCACTAACTTGCCGAAACCGCGCGAAGTCCATTCGGGTAAGTAAAGCACAACATTCACTGATGAGTGTGTTGCGCCGATATTTTTCGCAACTGACAGACAGATATCGACGTAAACCTGAACAATGAAAATTGTACAAATGCCAGCAATTTTTCCGAAAACACAAAAGATTTTCACAATTTTATTTGCAATATAGAAATCAATTTGGAAATAAAAAATCTATTTAATTTTAACGCGTGAAATTATAATTGGCTGGTGATATTTAATGTTAAGTATTTGGTGTGGGCACAGGTCGAGTGACGTATAAATTTTTTGGATGTTACGAATTGCTGCGAGTAACAGTGATAGAGAAAGAGGAAGAGAGAAAGAGAGAAAGAGTGAGTGTGAAAGGAGTAGCGAGAATTGAGAGCGAAAATGTATCGATAATCACAAATTTCACTTTTTTTAGAATCCTTATTAGCACCAAGGAACTTAGCTCTCATGCATCTGTACAAAGTTGTTGGTAGGATTTAGATATCCGGCGCACACATGCATGACATAATATAATGTCCTTGGTTATTTAGGCGCGGTGGTACCTCAAAGTAGGTGTATAAAGATTATAATAGTCGGACTTTATTTGCTTATTTTTATCTGCACATGTTTCTCTCAATAATCAAATCTTACAATTCAATATTTGCTATGTGCATACGAATTTTTAATGTACATCTTTTTGAGGCGCTATATAGAGCTTGTGATAATATTGTGTCGTAGCTTAAAAATCTATTGCGAAATATGGAGATTAAGTCGGAACATGAAGTTATCGCATGCCCTATTCGATTAACAACCCTTTCATAATTTATTACGCTTGGCATGTCGTCCCATTTAGTTGTCCTTCTTTCTTTTGGCTGAGTTCCGAATATCCCGTAGTATCCTAATTAAGCGCAAGCATAATTGATTTCGATAGCAAGAGGTTCTGCCTTTTACTCTCCCATATCGTTTTAGTTATTATTATTACTGGAAAAACCATTTTTTTTAAGCCTTTTTTCAGAGTTCAATGCTTTTCTGTACTTTTTTTTTTTTTTAATTTCACTCCGGTATTTTAACGCAATTTAATTTGGCGTCTGTGGACAATCTATTGGAAAAAAGACTTGTTCGGGATTTCAAACATCCATGGATCCAAAGATTCGTGAATCCGTATTAAAGCGTAGAGCTGCGGAACAGAAGGCCCATGTGAACGCTTGCATTGCCGACTCCAATGGCGAGAACCAGATTGCTCTAGTTTTGATTTTCCGGCCTCAGTCAGGGGAGAGTGTGTGAGCTACTCATTATTGGGTTGAGTGTTTGTGTTGGTTTACTAACGGAATGGTGCGGGGGCGTGTAGCGGGGGATTCTGTTACAGATGTCGGTCCGGCCAGTGTGATGGTGGGGAACATTGTCCAGGGCAACCGATTAGCCTCGGCGCAAGGACGCGACATGGGTGTTCTAGACGAAGACAGCGATAATGCCAAAAAGGTTCGTAAATCCGAAAGAATTCAGCATCTTACAGGAGATTTTTTCACATAGATTTCTTTTATATGTTACGATATATTGTGTCGTTTTTTTTTTTCAGTATCAATTTATCTCTGAAATTCTACGGTGGCGTGCTGTTAGCACTTCGGACCATGTGATATTTACGTCGTTGAACGCGAAGGGTGCTGTGGCCACCTCGTTGTCCTGCTCGCAGCTGCACAAGAAGGCTGAAAGGATTGGGAATCTGCTGTTGGATCGAGGAAGAGTCAATACCGGCGACCACGTGGCGCTTATCTTTCCACCCGGCACCGATCTGATATGCGCGTTTTACGGTTGTTTGTACGTTGGCGCCGTGCCGGTGACCATCAGGCCGCCTCATCCGCAAAATCTGCAGACAACCTTGCCAACCGTTCGCATGATCGTAGACGTCAGCAAATCCGTCCTCGTCTTAACTAACCAGAATCTTCTCAAGTTGCTGAAGACAAAGGTAACTGAAAATATTGTGCGAATGTGAATTGCGCAAAAAGCGAACGTGAAATGTGCATCATCGATTGCGCGTTATCTCGTACAGGAGGCGAACAACGTGGTCGACGTGAAGAGCTGGCCGTTGATTCTGGATATGGACGACATGCCAAAGAAGAAACTGCCAGTAATGTATCGAGCGCCCACCGCAGAGATGCTGGCCTATTTGGACTTTAGCGTTTCGACGACGGGCATGCTCGCGGGCATTAAGATGTCTCATGCGGCGGTCACCTCGTTGTGCCGCGCCATGAAGTTGGCGTGCGAACTCTATCCCTCCAGACACATCGCTCTCTGTCTGGATCCGTATTCAGGCCTCGGCTTTGCCTTGTGGTGCCTCAGTAGTATATACAGCGGGCATCATTCTATACTGATACCACCGTCCGAGGTAAGTTTTGCCACCATTTTCGCACTTGTTAAGGAGATTCTTCTAGACATCAAAATAATATAACAAAATTAATTGAAGTAATTAGATACATATAATGTACAAATAATATGAATTTTTGTTGTAACTGTCAACACAGGTGGAAGTCAACCCCGCGCTCTGGTTATCGGCGGTCAGTCAGTCCAGAGTAAGAGACACGTTCTGTTCGTACGGTGTCATGGAGTTGTGCACCAAGGGTCTCGGCTCCTCGGTTCACGCGCTCAAGGCGCGAGGCGTTAGTCTGGCGTGCGTGAGGACTTGCGTTGTTGTCGCCGAAGAGAGGCCGCGGATAGCGTTAACGACGAGTTTTAGTAAACTGTTCTCTGCCCTCGGTCTGAGTCCGCGCGCGGTTTCCACCTCGTTCGGCTGCAGAGTGAATACTGCCATTTGCTTACAGGTAAAGTCGATTAGCAATTTAACCATTTTGCTCTGGGAAGAGAAATCCGTTTACAGACATCGTTATTATTTTCTTGATTCTGTTTCGACAGGGAGCATCGAGTCCGGAGCCGTCGACAGTTTACGTGGACTTGCGCGCGTTGCGCAACGATCGGGTGTCTCTGGTGGAGCGTGGCAGTCCGCATTCGTTGTGTTTGATGGAGTCGGGCAAACTGCTGCCTGGCGTGAAAGTGATTATTGCCAATCCCGAGACTAAGGGACAGTGCGGTGACTCGCATCTAGGTGAGATCTGGGTGCAGTCCTCGCACAACGCGAGCGGCTACTTTACGATCTACGGCGATGAGAGCGATTACGCCGATCACTTTAACGCACGACTGGTCACCGGCAACACGAGTGAAGTATACGCGAGAACAGGCTATCTGGGCTTCTTGAGGAGGACCGAGAGCGTTCAGCAGTCGGTGATCAGCGATGTACCCGGCGATACCACCAATGCGGCCGAGGCTGATCTCGTGCCGAGCGATCCGGAGCTGCACGATGCTGTATTCGTCGTCGGTGCTCTCGATGAGGCCATATTACTGCGGGGTATGCGCTATCATCCAATTGACATCGAGAACAGTGTCATGCGGTGTCACAAGAAAATCGCGGAATGGTAAGTGTTTTTATTTTCTATTACTTAAGATATAAAATTACTTTCATGTATCCGGTTATCAGTATTAAAAATTTTAGCTCGATTATTAACTTGTCAAATTTAGATTATCTAGCAATAACCGAATGTTGTTATTGCGTTTTTATCTTTTCAGTGCCGTATTTACATGGACCAACCTCTTAGTGGTAGTGGTAGAATTGGATGGCAGCGAAAGCGAGGCTCTTGATCTCGTGGCTCTGGTGACGAGCGCTGTGCTCGAAGAACATCATCTGGTAGTCGGCGTGGTGGTCGTAGTGGATCCCGGTGTGGTGCCCATCAATTCGCGTGGCGAGAAGCAACGGATGCATCTACGCGACGGTTTTCTCGCGGACCAGCTTGATCCTATCTATGTGGCGTACAATATGTGAACGAACGTGCGAGAGGTTTTCACTCCTTCTTTACTCCGCCTTCCTTATCCCGACGTATTAATGCTGCAGTGGAATTTTATTTGCAAATACTTGAGCAAGAGTTTGACAGGTATTTCTCTCTTTAGTTTGCTTGTTTTACATTTTTTTTACAAAAATTTCCCAAACGTTTTTAACCCTTTCTTTTCATAAAAATTCTCCTCTTGATACGTACTTGTCAGCAAGTTTTTATTTTAGCTAATCGTTCATCACTCTGAAGCGGATAGCTTTACAGAAGTAATAAAATGGATGAACGTAATATGAATAAATATTCCAATAAATGGAATTTCGTTGTGTATGTGTCAAGGAAATGCCAATGCACTTCAATAGTGAGTGAGTGTCACCGGCGAAAAGTACGTATATATAAATTTGAAACATTTCCAAACAGTCCGACTGCCATAAATCCTTAAATACAAATTGAATTAAAAATAATCGCATTACATACACGTATATGAATACAGAACAAGAGACAGAATGATTAATGTCGAAAATCGATCGAGAAATGGTAGATTCAGTAATAATACATTCGCAGCTCGTTTTGATATCCAGCGATTTGTCGCGAAATGTTTACTCTATCTTTCGATTGTTCGAAAATTGTGCGACCCATTTTCGCAATGTCGAAACTGCACAACGATTGCGTTCAATTTCAATGATGAAAGCGTAAATCTTGACATTAGAATCTTGTGTTTTCGAAAGATGCGCGAAAATTTGATGTATTAGGCTGCGACGCGCACAATATCGCGGTTTTGTACATTTCAAGCCAAAGTCTTTATATATCGTACTATGTAGCGCGTGACGAACATTCTGATGGTTTTTTCTCATATTAGACTTCCCATTACGAAGAACAGAGTATTCTCTTTGATTGGCGGGAACAACGAAGAATTTCGTCGCGCGAAGGTGATTCCGAAATATTTATAAAATCCCTTACAATCGTCTTTATGATTGTTAGTTGAGCATGTTTTTACAATCCACTGAAACTGAAATTAATTACTATTTGAGATTTAAGATTCTTGCTGCTCCTCGCAGCAGTCATGCTTGAATTATGACGTCAGATAAGTGAGAGACCACTAAACTAATTTAATACAGCTGCAGAGAAAAAAAAACAGGAACCTTAATTCTCATTGGGTACTTAATTCTTTCAATTTCTTTCAATTCTTTCGCACAAACAAGTATAATTATGGAATCAGCTCAAGCTCGCGTAAAATGTGTAGATACGTTGCGCAATATCGACTTTAGGGCTGTCAAAATTTCTGTTTCATTATTTTTATGCCATGGGATGCTAAAAATGTTAAATAGACAGCATAAATGATTGGCCTACACTTAGATATAAAGATAAGATTAAAAGCGGTTTTAGTAAAAGGAAAGATTAGACATCTAATTGATATAACTTAATATACAAGAAACAAATTTTAATATTAACATTCTGTACAAAAGACACAATTTTATACGACCGACGACACTCTTGTAATAACGTAAAATTAGTGTAAAAGAAGAACTTTTTTTTTTACAAGTTCAAACAAACGCCAAGCCCAGAAGTCGATTGTAATTGATTATCCGTCAGACTTTCTTTATTCACTGACCTTTTCTACGAATATGTACAATTGTTGATAGCTCTTTAATTTTATATTCTTATTTTAACATATGACGACACACATACGGCGTCTAACATATATTATTGTATCTATTGCGTAGACATCGCGATTATAATTATCACATTTGCTGTGCGAGGAAGCCTGGCATTAATGTTGCGATTGTATATAATTGAAAAAATCGTTTTTTATTATTGAAATTGATTCTTTTATCTGTAAACGTTTTTGTTCTTTTCGTTACAATCACATGTGTGGTTTTTTTTGTTATTTATTTATTATTAATTGAACAATTCATGCGAAAAAATATAGATTAAAAAAGAAATTTAATTTTTAATTACATAATTCAGCATGATTAATTTAAAGTTTGAACTATTAGTTTGTGACATTTACATGTTAAGTTGTGTTAGAACATTCGCTAACGACCGCAAAGATTATCAACGATAATTTTGTCGCAGTACACGCATGGCATATAGTGATTTATAATCGCTTGTGGAGTATGATGATTAATCGTACCGGACTTTCGATGGCTGTTCACAGGCGGCTTTCTGTAAATACGTAATACGAGAAAGAGGCGTTTCCTCTCCTCCCGCATGCTACTGTTTTGCGACCCGTCCGTTTATTTTTTCTCTCACGACTTATCTCGCTTATTTTTATCTTTTCCGTCTTTTTATTGTTAAGCTATCGTGCCATGTCATCTTGCGTTACTTCCGCACTTTTACGCACGGAAAGATATACGTTCGTAAATAGCTGCATTTGCGCAGGCTCGGTTGCGCTGATGGTCCCGATTAAGTAATTCTTAGAGCTATTATTTCTCTCTCTTTCCTTTCAAATCTTGTTTTATCATAGCTTTGTTATCATAATAACGAAGAAAAGTGTAAGTTAATCACGGTTGTTCATCATCTTAGTTAATTATAATTGATCTCATTTTGCTCTCGGTTTTATCTTTCTCTCTATTTTTGACACATCCACACATTGACAGTGTACATGTTTCTCTTATTAATGACGAATTTTTCGAGAAATTTGTAAACAATTTTTTTCTTTTACAGTTTTTTAAGTATAATTTTAATAATAATCAGCTATGATTAATCAACACGTTAGTACAACCGAAGCTCAAATAACAGAATTTTTGAAACTGAATCAGATTTTACAGAAATGAAATATAATTAAAGCTAAGATACAAATATTCTTTATTACGGAAAATAAGGAAAAGTGCTTGTAGAATTTTTGTATTAATTTCTTTCTGCAAAATTTGATTCAATGACGTCGAATTTTGTGATATAAATGCATTGCGGTATTGCCTCAAAATTCAGAGACTGAGTTTTGAAGTTTCTATATGTGGAGTTTTTGATAATGCGAACCGATATCTTTCTCCGTGCGTGAAAGGAAAGACAGATATCTTTCCGAGAAAAATAGAAACGTGCAATGAACAATTTTTACATTAGACGATAAGCGATTGTTATAAGTAGAATAATGTCGATTGTAACGACAAGTCGTTGGATCCAATAACATTTCGGTTCACAGATATTTGGATCGTTTGAGCCTTGATTTGATGGATTTGTGGTCGTAGATATCCTTAACAATTTAACCCTTTCGCACGTACATAATGAATTATATAATGAAACATTTTATAAGAATTTTGCAAGTACGTATTTTAGAATTGTAAACCGTAAAAAAAAACAATCGTAGGTTATTAAAGGACGAAAGGGTTAAACAAAGCATCGATTTAACCGATTGTTGGATCCGCGGATTCTTGCAAAGTGTCCTCGAACCGTTTCCATATCCGAAATTATTTTATTAGAGCACACGTTTATATGTGATTAATCTATTAGCACCCGAAAGCTTCCGGGTAATTTCTTAATAAATAAATAAGTTGGTTTAAGAAATGATATATCATACAAGAAAAATACAAAAAAAAAAAAGAATAAGTATTTATTAATACAAATAGCGATGGACGTTAACGGACTAGTATTTTGTGATTTATATAAGATTGAAATGTATAAATTTGTTATTTCTGTTAAGCGCGTTAACTTTAGGAGAGAAACATTCTTTTCATTCGCATATTCGAAAATAAACACAATGATTATTTCTGGCCAGGAATAGAAGAAGAATATATACGATGCGATATAAATAATCATTCTATTACGACGTATACAGGTAATCAACCGCAATTAATCACTATACAATCACTAATGCAATTTGAACGAGAATTTTGTATTAAAATGTTACGTGCCACTATGCAATGCCAATAAGAATCTTAGTTGATTTTATGAATAGTCGCTACGTTCTTGTCTTCTATCAGGCACAACACGAGCACAACCGATGTCCCAAGTGAGCTAAAGACGTTCACGTGTCCTGGATCAAAGGGTTCTTGCACAGTTCCATCAATGGATCGGAGTATATATGCGTGCGTGTATGTGTATGTATGTATGTGTGTGCGTGCGTGGGTACGTACGTGCGAGAAACTTGGTTGTACTATGTATAAATGTTGATAACTAGATTAATAGAAGTGTGGTACACGTGTCAGGACGCGTCGCGCGCATGCAAAACTCGAGGAAAGGATCCGCGCCCAAACTACACAGGACAGGATCCACCAATCTCCCCCAAGCTCCAGTCCTAGAGAACGAATCTAGGACCGATCCTACCGATCGGTATACCTAGGCCAGCGCATGGTCTAAGGCTGTGTATATATATAATAACGCCCCCGCGTTAGACTTTATTAAGGTATAGTTTGTACGTTGAGCTATATATATTATATATATATTATATACATATTATATATTATTATTATTATTATCACGAATAATATAACGATCACTGTCTTTACCAAGCCGATAGCATCATCATGTATCACATTAAATGGACATATTAATACTCGCGTGTTCATGCCATCCCCGACGGCGTCCAGCCTTGGTCCTACGATCACGCATCCTCCAATTTCACAGATCCTCGGAATAGCAGCTGTCCTGAAAAAGAATTTCGTAGTTTGACGAAAGCGTATCGTACGGAGGAAATTAAAAAAAAAATCGGTAAGATTAAACTTTTATTAAATTTTATTTTATTCTTTTTATATTCGTACTAAGTGTACTCGATTTACAGGTAGAATTGGCTTTACAATTAACACTTTCATGAGACTGTATTATACACTAACACCGATTCGACGCTGTTCCTTTACTCCGGCAAATATTTCTTAACAACCAGATGTTTCTTCATTGAGGTATAAACAAATTTTTATGAAAATCACTTGTAAATATAGGATGCGATATAATAATAATTCAAAATTAAATATAAAATTCGGTTTTGATAATGTTTTTGCGCAATGAATGCAATCCGTGTATCAATCGTAAAAAATCGCGTGCCCGCCTCACTGGCTGATTGGAAATATGCGATATCGATGAGAGTTTAGTGCGTCGTTACGAGATCTGTGCTCTTTTGACTGTTCAATTGATAACAATTTGCGACATTGGCGCGGGGATGCGTTCAACGTATTATTGTTAATCTGTATTGTCTTATTATTCGCGTGCACTATTCAATATGGATCGAATAGTTTTCTCATTGTTGTTCAATATTTTACGCTTAAAGTTCCTCTTTCTTCATTGCGGGCTATTTAATTACGATGTCAAAATTGAAAAATAATATTTTTCTGCAACGTATGCCAAAATTAGCTTTATACACCACGCTACTTGCCACAGTATAGATTGATAAAACGTGGCGAAATACTTTCTTTTCTTATCCGTGTCAAATATCCTCAGTGAATGTATAATTCAATCTACATGTGTCCCACATTTCCAGCAAAAATGGACTTCATATGACAGTTGATCAAGATTTACAGCCATTTATTAATCTACTAACAAAAACGAGAGTCTTCGGTATCTTACCAATCTACATTATCAAACGTAAGTTCGATATGCGAAAACATTAATTTATGTCAAATGTAGCGGAGGAAAAAATTTGACGCTCAAAATTTGATCTCTCGTTTCTGATGTTAATTCAATATGATTGCAGCGATAGAATCGGGAGCTTAAAAAAAGAGCGCGTCCGGGCGCAAATAAAATCCGAGTGCGAAGCGAATTTTACATACGCTGTGTGGAAGTACTAATCGGGGTTGTTCCTCCAAACATAAAACCGCGCCGTATAAACACGCCGTTACATTGGTCCCGGAATTTTGCATAAATGCATATGCAGTTTACAAAGTGGAGGCACTCTGAATACTTGTTGCGAACGGCATGCATATGCGATCAGCACCATACACCGGCGATCTACATATAACCGGGTTGATAACGTAAGATGACGAGTAAAAAAATAGGACGAACGGATTTGAGCGTGCCGGCGATGTATATTCATTAAAAGCAGCACGAGGCGAATTCAACTTTGGGACCTCCTATGACCTACCCAGTTCGTTATACTTATCGCGAAAAGAAAATTAGTGCACACATATTTCGCACACTGAATAAAAATCGGCAAATTAGCGTGACAGTGTGATAGTGCCGTGTCACGAATATCACTCGTGACGAAGAGCAAGCATAGTTACAAAGCGCAGCGAATTGCATGCTGAACGACGAGACGCTTTTTCTCGTTTTACAGGAAAACATTCTGCATACAGGTAGCGCTTTATATCATATGTTTATCATCGATAATATGCGGTGAGTAATCGGAAGAATCAATATTTAGGACAGCTCAACGCTCGAGTTTTTCATCAATAAATAGTTTACGAATGAAACTTTCCTGTGTATTGTCAAGTGTTTCTCATTCGTTTATCGCATTTTTTCAACCTGATAGAATTATCAATATTGAATAATTTATTTTGCTTTAATTTATATGAGAGATAATGAGAGAACGTTTCCATTTTAAATAAAAACATTTATATGTTTTTAAGAACAAAAGTATAAATAGCAAAACATTATATAAAATAACGTAAAAATACCAAAAAAGTAAAAAATGAAGGTTCAGCATCAAAACATGTTCAAAACAAATAGATTTATTTATTTGAATAATTCTAAAAAAATTTACGAGTCAACTCGTTTGAAGCGATGATTACGATTTGCGCCGGCGCGCAAGCGAATAAATCCCTCTTTGGGACGACTCGGGTCAGCTCACGCGATTGGTCAGCCTGGCCGGCCGGTCACGCAGATATTCAATTCGCCTTGCTCCTTTCTTTCCTCTCTCTCCGTTTCTCCGGTCGCGCGCGCGAGTCGGTAAACGAACGAGCGAGACGAGTAACGTTTCCCAAGGGAAGCACGCGCCGGATCTCCCGACCATCGGTTTATCCGCGGCGTCACTTTCGCGTGTGTAATTATTCACGTTTTCTTTTATCGCGAACACATTGTAACGCAAACATCCGTCCGTGTGTCATCTTCCGTTTCTTCGCAGAAGCCGTATGGAGATGAGTTACGTTCGTCGGAGACGCTAAGAAATCCCGACGCACGGAACCGGGATCGAGAAGCAAACTCACCGAAACTACGTTGTTGTCTGCGCGAGTGGTGCGCGTCGAGCGATTGATTCGGAATCTAGGTATGTAAATTTTTCTGTACTATTTTCGCCGAAAGTGAAAATGGCGAGGGTACGAAGCTGCTAAAGAATCAGTGTTGTGTTTTGTATCCCGCATTATTTACCTGAATTTCGTGTGTTTACACTTTGTATCTATTCAAATTCTCAAGGAAAGAAAAGGAGAAGGGAAACGGGAAAAAATTGACGATAAAATATATGTCTTAAAGAGGTAAAATTGATTCTTAATAGCGATTGTCTTTTTAAAATAAAGTAAACATGTATACGACTTTGAACAATTTATGGTTGTGTCAAAATGACACATTTTTTTTGTGTCGCGACATCAGTCGTTTAAACTGTTTATTACTTGTGGCGCGTCCGTGATCGTTAAATACCGATTTTTGCATTGCGTAATCAATCACGTGAAAAAGAGTTTTGTTTACTGCATGCTGGCACCATGTGAAGATTACTTTTTGATTATTTCACGGGACTTAGTAATATGACATTTGAATATACTATTTGAATAGCGTATCCAGTGGAATGTATCCTTGATATACAGGAATTTATTGGTCAGCGCGATAAAAGTAGATAAGACACTTTGGGAACAAAAGATATGAAAGGCGAAAAAATGTTAAACGAAAAGAGTGTTAAACGCATACCAATTAATTATTTTACACCAATTATTTTATACCAATTAATTATTTTACAAATTAAGCATGTTATTCGATATTTAACAAACATTATTTCATGGAGCATAGAACTGGTCTTTGTTTTAAATGTTCTGGTAGATTGTCAGATTCGATGATTTTATAATAAAACGATTAAACTCTTGTGTAATTGCGTGACATATTTATTATTGGCGGGTTTATTTCTTAATTTACAATGCTTTGAAAGTGTGTGGAACACTTAATGTTAACACGCTGGAAATATGTTTTTACACTATTTCTCAAAACAAAACAAGAGAGGAACAATAAAAGCACTGACTTTTCAGTTCTACATATATTCTAGCATATATTATCAAAACAACCACAATCTCCGCGACTGAAAATTATACAATTTATAAACCGAAGAATTAAATAAGGTTTTCGCGATCCATTTAAATATATAAAATTAACAACATTAGAGATCAAATCTAAAAAAAAAAATACCAAAAGTTTATAATAAGATTTTATTGTTCTTAACTTTTTTACATAATTTCCACGATGTTTAATATGTTCGATAAGACGACGGTGAAACGCCCAAAAATTATACTGGAAAGATTGTTGTTTAATATTTTCTTCAATTCGTCAGCTATGCCTGAGTTTAAATATTCTCAATATTTTTAAACTGTTTCTCTTTTAGGCACAATTTAATGTTGGGGAATAAAGAGTAATCGGCTATTGGGCCAATTTAATTTCTACTAATTACTTCTTATTATAGTTCGAAATTTCGGGAAAGTTCCCAGAAAGTTCGGGAATTTTCTCAAAATTTTTGGGAACTTTTCCTGGGCTTTGAACTATATTTCTTATTGCCTATTTTACATTTTATTAAATTCGTGCCTAAAAGGGGAATGATTTGAGAATATTGAGAGATTATTTGCTGACGTAACTGACGAAGAAATTAAAGAAATGATTTCAAAAGTGTTTAAAACACTTTTCTGACATTTTATCATTATCTTTCAAAGTATGTTGAAGACTGTGAGGATCATATAAAACATTAGCACCAATAAAATTCTATTGTAAACTTTTTTATTTGGTCCCGGAATTTTTTAAGCGCACAGTACAGACAAGATATTTTTAAAAGAAAGATTCTAAAATAAAAATTACCAACTTTTTCAATTAGATGAATTAGTGTATAAAAATCAAAAATAACGTATAAGAGAACAGCTTAAAGTTGGCTGTAAACAGCTTACAGTTCTTAGAATCAAGGACAGAGCTAGGCGATTTTCTTCGTGCACCGGCAAACCCTTCTATTTTCGAACCAGGTTGAGACGAGAGCGATTCGCCGCATTTCCTAAGCTGGGATTCATGCACTATATTATCCTTTTTGTCGCGCGTCTACACGATCATCCGTCGTTGTTGCTTATTGTTAGCCCCGGGACAAATCTCACTAATGGAGCGACTCGCCGTGCATTCGGTACGAAGTTATAAAGTTAACACTTCGTACACAAGTATCAAAACTATAAAAATTTTATAGTTTTGATACTTTTGAAAAGTTCTATGGTTCTACAAAATATTTATTAAAAGAGTGATTAATACCATTGTTATTGTTATTAAATGAAATTAACTTTACACTCGACTTGATGCGGCATAATAACGATGCTTGTCGTGATTCGATAAGATAACAAAACGCACGTGACATTATTATTATTGGCAATAAATAAGGATTTCATTATAATCCAAATTTTAAATTGCTGGATTTATTTTAATTACAAATTTTTAGAAAGTCTCCTCGCAGTCTAGAAATTTATTTACTAAATAAAAATTATTTAACAGTTTAAAACCATAAAAATTTTATAGTTTAAGGCTATAAAAATTTTATAATTTAAAACTATAAAATAAAAATTATTACATTGTTAATAATAAGGATCATTCTTTTTCGTAATTGTTGTTTTATAACGTCTTAACATGTTTTTGATTAATTTTTTAACATTAAGAAAGATATAGCTTGCTATTATGCTTATATTTTGCTATATGATTTATAAATTCTAGAACATCGATCAGAATTATATCGAAACTTGCTTCGATTGATTCGATAAAAGTTGCACATATATGCATCGTTAATTATTACCGCACTATCTAATCAAATTTTCCTAAACGCCATCCATAGTTCAAGTTCAATCGTTCAATCGGAAGTATGTAGATATCATAAAATTCATTATTGTTGCATGAAGACATTTATCAATATTATTGAATTGCTGAGGTGTTGCTTTTAAAGATAATATCTGAAATATTGTTTAATGTAATTATTGTTAAAGATTTACGAATTCCAAGATACGTAGGGGGTATATTTTAGCAATTAATAGTTCGTATGAATACATCCATATATTTCGCGAAAAAAAAAATATAGAACGTAAAATATATGGATCTATAAATATATGAACTGCTTTATTAACTGCTAAAAAATGTATTTGCTTATCTTACAGTTTGCAAATATTTAACATTGTAAGATGCAGTTTTTAGATTATCTTTACAGGAAAAAACTTGCGAATGTTTATACATATTCAATGATCTTGAGATTCGCATAAATACGTTAATTTATTCACGACAAGTTTCTGGCAAGTTTGGAATCAATTTTATTTTTGTCGTATGTAAAAATTTTTCTACCTTATTTACTAAAAGTTATACCAGCCAAATAATTTTTTCAGTGCAGAGCAAACACGCTTAGCTAAACGTTTAATGTGTTTAAATTCGTCAATGACGTCTCATTTATGTATGCCATTCTTGTTGATTATTAGCGTAACTCTTACCCTGCGTGATACCCATCTTTAATGTGAAACGTTAATGTTGGCGTACGTTGTTGGCCACCTTTTAGCGATAAAAATAATTCATCGAGTTGACGATAAACGGCCATCGTGACGCATAACTCGTGAGCACGTCTGCGATATTTAAAGCGTACATTGTAATTTTAGCGGTTCCCAATTGCGATTTCCAAATCGGAAGAAACTAAAATACGGGAAAGTTCTCTCTCTTCTAGGAATCCCTTGCGGGGTCTCTTATTAACGGTCTCGTGCGCGTGAAATATCACGCGGCGATTATCAAAGTCCACACGGATTCGATTATCAAAGTCACGGGACGGTCTCGCTTTCAATGAGCTTAATCGCGCACGCGACGTCTCGTGACGATGAATCATCGTCCTAACGTTTGAGCACCACGGAGGCACCACGTCCTCGTTCCCCATATGAGATTTCGGCTGCCATGTCACATCGATTGATTTATATAATCCGAAAACGAGCTCCAAAAACGAATCCTCGTACTACTTTGTGAGAATAGGATTTCTAGTTTCTAGGAAAATCCCTTTACAAGAGCTGCTACTTACAAGAACTTATCTCCAAAAATCCAAGGAAAGCACATTTTTCTCATGAGTTTTTCCTGTGAACGCTTGAGAAGGCTTGGATTATAGTCGAGATTATTTATTGTTGGGATCTTTAATTATTTCATTTAATAGTTGCCACTTTATTTAACTTTTCGATACAAATTTAGAGATAAAAGCACGTAATGTAATTTTTTATTGATCGATTGAATTCAAATGAATGTTTCTTTTGAACATTAAAATTACACATTCGTCATACATAACTTTATTTGAAATTTTATGCATTACACATTTTTCATATTCATTAGTTGCTCGGAATATGGCATTAGTATCTCGTATTGATAACAGTGCAAAGCATTAGCTATTTTTTGTATAAAATATAGAATGCAAAGTTTTTACAAAAGTTCCAAGTTTTAAACTTTACGCAAATATGAATTTATACGTGTTATTCTAAACAATTATACGATTGAGAGAAATTCAAGTATGCATGATTAAAAAGAGAAAAACATATACATGTATATAGAGGCGATTAATAATACACATAATGACGAGCATTCAATGTGTGGCATATTAATTGTACCAATTAAGCGTCACTGTCATCGCGAGTGATGGCTGTGACACTATCGTCAACTTTGTAAGTGTCACGCACAAACGAATTAATTTCTCAGAAATTATTTGTTTTCTGCTTCTTCAAAATTAAAGACAAGGGCCGACAATTCAACGATATAAATATACGATTTGTATTAATAATAGTATAACTAAAATGACGGGCCGAAATGTTCTATAGCTAAATTATCTACAGTACTTTAGCTGATTTCTCCCAATGAAAAATATTGCGTAATTACAACAAAGAAATTGCGAGACAAAGAGATTGGTTGAAAGAGAAAAAGGAGGCTCTTTTTTGCGCTGCTCTTGTTAACGTAATATTTTCGAAGAGAGAGAAGGCTTTACGTCTGTCGGCATTTACAAAAGAAACCCTCGCGGTCAGTTTTTTTCCGTTGAGAAGCGAAATGTCGTCTGGAGCGAAGCGTCGTATGGATCATGTTGCAAACCCCCGGAGACAAACGTGCGTACAGTAGAAAGTGTTAATAGCATCAATTTACTATTCTTTTCAAATGCAGATGAAGATATCTTCTCTCTTTTAAATATCATAATAATCAAAATAGTAAAGAAAACATACATTCAAAATTGTTTTATTTTTCTATTTATTTCTTATAATTTTTTATGAAAAATGATTACCATAGATCTTTTTTTTAGATTAAAACTAGCTTCTAATTATTTATTTATCGTTCCATAGAAACATATTGGATGTGACGTAAGATGCGAAAAAACTAATTTTGTTTGATGTTCGCCACTATTAACGGACTCTACATTTGTACAAAGTGAAGTAAATATATATGTATCAGGGTTCCGTGAAACCAGGTCAAAAACCTCCGTGGTGGTCCCTCTCGCTTGCATAACCTTGTCCCACAAAGGTGACGCGAGAGGGGAAACATAAGGCGCTCCTTTCTCTCGCAAGGACTCGTTTTGTGTCCCGTCCGTTCGAAAGATGATCCTCCTGACATGCGTCGCATCGCCTAAACTTGTCGCTATGGATAGATTTGGGTGATTTGGGATTAGTTTTGAAAAAAATATAGTCGACAGAAGCTATAGAATTTTATTATCTTCCTTTTTACATAAGAAATTTTTAAGTTACATAAAAAAATACTGGATATTAAAAATGTTCATTTCTTACATACATCTACGCCATGTAATGCTACCTGCCTCAACAATTGATTTTTCTACCATTGCAGCCGTGTTTTAGCCGTGTTATTTTAGCCGATGTATAAATTTATGTTCAAACATTTGAATAATTTACAATAATAATTCGGGCTCGTAAACCGCTCAGGTAAAACATGCATACGTAATATGCATTTATTTATTTATTGATGTGTAGAATGCCTACACATTCAGTCGAGCTAAATTGTCTGTGAATGTAGTTGATGAAAATTTAATACTGCATAACAGCGATCGATTGCAAACGAAAACCACGTTTTAATTTGTAAAATCCTATTAAAGATATTATTATCTTTTAATCGCATAAGTTGATATAAATAATGCCTCTCTCTTCCTTTCAAGTCAGCAAATAATAAAAATTGAAGTCCATTTAGGACTTGTAAGATTGCTTTATTATTTTGCATTCGGACTAGATAAAATAATTTTTATACTTGTCTGATATATAAAATTTGTTTGGCCATTTAACGACCTTCAGATACATATATTACTCTCGCATTATTGTTGCATTCGTTTCATAACTACAATAATACAATTTTAATGTCGGTGAATATTTAATGAAGCACGTCTCACCGCCGGGAAACAAATGTCATGCATTTGTATTTTGGATGTCCGCGAGTTCATAATATCAGCTGGGCTTACGTGGATAGTGAGAAAATTGTTGACTGATTTTGTATAACAAATATGTGTTATGGAGAGTATTAAAATCCTACCAAAGATGATAGATCGCTCGCATGATCCACCGTCGTGCTGCGTAGTTCCACGAAGCGATGTGAATAAAACTTGATGGGATAAAAGCACAAGCATAAAAATAGACGCCGCAAAACAACTTGACGTAACGTCGTGGCAGATGTTGCATTTACAAAGGGCCCGTCTTTTCGCCAAACAAACGACGATAAATGCAGACGGAGCTGGCCGGTTCTCGCCACCAGATCTTCTTATTATAACGCCACAACAGGAGCTTAAGGTGTCCCCACACTGAATCTGTGCGAAAAGCCGATTGTGTAAATACTATCTTTTCGGTGACGTCCGAAATCCGGAAACGGATAGACATTCGGATAGATTGAGATATTCAACTCAAGTAGACAATATTCGTACGCAACGACTTAGCAACATGTACTTTTATGTACGATGCGATTATTTTTTATTCGTCAAAAATAAAGAATAATATCCTCGTTGCGTGTGAAACGATCTTTAGATCTTTATATCTATATATATTCGCACATACCGTGTGTTTCTGTACAGTCTGTTTTTCAACAATAAAGCCGATCACATTATTATCAAGTGTCTAAGAGGATTGATCATTATCGCGGGAGTTTTGAGAGTGCGAGCGTAGAGGATATCCTGCGCGTGGATGCGGAAATAAAGCAAGAGAGAGAGAGAGAGAAAGAGAGAGGTATCGTCAGTGTCGTAATATATACATTTACAAGAGGCTCAAGAATTAGGTGGAATAAAAAAATATTAAGTTTAGTTTTTATCGAGAATAAATTGTGGATGTATGAAATTGTAATATGATTGGGAACAGAGTGATTTCTCGTGGAAAAATACATGGAATCGCAATTTTAGATGTACCCTGTGCAACGTAACAACAAGGACAATTTTTAATTTAACCGAATATTCATGCAATCGTTATTACGTCACTTTGCGGTAGAGCAAAGACGAAAATTACACGTCAAGTTACGCGACAGACAAAATTATGTTGATTGCCGATACGAGCGTGTCAAGAAACAGAGAGAAAAGTGTCAGGTGTGCCGTTACATCATCTCGTTACGGCGCGTAACTGAAGACGGGTAGGAAAATCCGCCGCGCGGTTCCTGACGCTTCGCGCAAATTGATTAATAACAATAAGCATATGACCAGGCAATGATTTATGTGCAGGATGCGACGTAATTCTGCAGTCCAATTTTTGAGAAAATTGTCAGCTAAAAATATATTCGTGTAAACTTGTGGTTTTGATTTCAAATACAATATTGATTACGCGAAATCAAGATTGTTGACGGTTAGGCATTGATGTTTTGACGATTTTTTTATTATTCCTGTTTATTATCGCTGTCTAAGATTCTTTCCAAGTAAAGACGGATATTAAAAGTTAAAAGTGTTGGCCACTCTCGATGAGGTATGTCTCATTCTCGATGCCAACTACCGCAGTGGCCGACGTACCGCTCGACAGCTCCTCGCGATCGTTAGTCCACGAACGAGTGCTCGCGAGATCGCTACCGTCGCGTCTCGCGTTTTCTCGAAAGGTTCGCGCGCATCCTTCCTACCGGAATAATCTCCCGTTTCTGGTTTTGCACAAAAAGAAAAAAAAAAGGAGAAGAAATAATAAAGCGAGTGAGTTTTCTTCATTTTTGTCGACACGTGTGTCAAGTAACGAGATGTATTGAAACGAGATATTAATGTTGTTAGGGAAATTTCGATCTTAATGTCTGCTTTTATTCAAAAATTATTCTCTCGTGTCTAATCGTGATTGTGCTGATTTCAGCAACCAGCAGAACGGAGCTGCCATCACAGCGACTACTCCACATGTGGACATCGCCGTCCCGACTCAGGATCGGCCGGGCACCCAGGAAAAAGACACAGCCTTAAGCTGATAGCTGTACCGTCAGTTGCCACGGCCGGTAAAAAATGGAAAATATCGATGGATCTAGGAGGAAGCTCTCCTTCCTCGGCTTCGGCAAACGTATGTCGGTGAGTTATCAATGAATATTGAGTATTATTGCGAAAAATCGTAAAAAGTGATGTAGAAAGTTGATTGCATCAACTCCAGTCCAACTGGATTGTAATCTTTATTCAGCCACAGCGTGGCTTAATTTTGAAGCAAAAACGCGGCACATTTATTCGGTTAACATTATTATTTTATTAACAAGACTCACTTCAACTGAGACGCTGTAAATACAATAATTTCTTTCTCCAATCAAAGCCAATTAACTAACATACACTTGAGAGAAATCAAATAAAAAAGATCCAAACGATCGCTATCAATGATGCGACGATAACGATACGGCGATGCGACGATAAACGATATTCCATATCGGAATTGGTATGCGCTTTAACTACTACACAAATGCATATCGCATTACTTCAATGACATAATATCTTATACGCCTGTATCACTACTAAGTTATCGTGTGGTCTTCGTATCGCGGATTCTTACTTCTAAGAATTCCTCACATCGATTATCGACGAGTTATGACGTTGTAGATTCTATGACTTATGCGTCAAGTGTTCGTCGAAATTATTCGCTTTATCGCGCGAAAAACGAACCACGCGTTCTCGCTTTCAGTTTTTCCGGCCGATTTAGCCGAGAGAAGCGAATTAATAAACGGCTGTAACGCGAAACCGTATAGTAATTTCAGCCGCGATCATTCGCCCGGCATTCCGTGCCTTGAACTAATACATTGACTTTTATTTCCGGCACAGTCATCGCGAACTCGACAGATCGCGAAGTTTAGCATTTCTGGTACATAGCGTACAGCAGGATTTCAAAAATCGAATTTGTCTATAACGTAAGTCGGTTCAGCCTTCCCAATCAGCAATAAATGTTCCAATTTCGAGACAATTTTAGGTTTTACTTAAAGCCTGAAGAGAGATAACACTAATATGTGTTCCAGCGACGCGCATCGTTACCTTCTTCCATCTCATCTGAACTTGTTGAGAAGGAGAAAAGGTAGAAAAGCACGAGCGCAAAATACAATATTCATTTATTTGGTCGATTAAATAAATGAGTTTGATCGCGTTTTCCACTTATCGCTATCGAATATAAGTAGATGTAATGAGGTTTGTGAATGAGTCACAATGACCCATGTCACACATTCCCGTGCATGCAAGACGAGTCTCGCATTCGTCGTATGTATACGGGGGTTCGGAACGGCGCGGAGACGCCCGCGCTCCGCAAAGTGGCGTGCGGATTATCGCTTCCATCGCGGTTGTCTCCCAACTCTGACATGGATTCGTAAAAGCGGGACGACCTCGAGCGGGACTGATTGACCTGATTGTTGACGGTCGCAGGTCAATAACCATTTGACATCGTGTGTGTCGTGTGTATGTGCGCGCGCGCGCGCGATCACACGATACGGCAGAAACGCGAGAAACGCGTTTCGTCGGCACATGACTTCGATCGTAGTCGAAAGTTGCCGGGGAACGCTCTGTAATCACGCATTTCCACACGCTATATTTGCACCACAGTTCCTTACGATATGTAGAGAGCATGAATTCGAGTATTCGCCAGCGTAGGCTTGCTATTCACGATGCAGGATCGTGATCATGCATCGTGCATAACGGTTGCGTAAGCTCGGAGAATCGAATCCAGATGCGCTTATCCTTAGGAATGCGAATCATTATCGATGAACGATGGCGCACGATTGCATCGTCGGTGTGACCGAAAACTTCCGGGATGACTCGATTGAAAAAAAAACACCTCAAGTTTATAATGAGATTTTATTGCTCTTAATTTTTTACATAATCCTCCACAACGCACTCGATAAGACAAGAGTCAAGTGCCTGGAGTGCGGTAATCGATCGGAACCAAATCTGGTCAATAACCGATGACTTTTTATTTTACAAAATTTACGTTTAAGAGAAAAGCAATTGTCGGGGATATTCGAAGAGGCGTGTAACCGATCAATTAAATAAGATATCGAATCAAGATTTTCATAATACTCTTCAGACATTTCACCGTCGTTTTACCGAATGTCGAGATCATGTAGAAAATTGAAAGCAATCACATTTTATTATAAACATTTAGTGTTTTCATATTAACGCAATCCCGAAATTTCTTACACATTGTGCGTATTTTGCATTAAGATCACACTTACTCTTAATTTCACGAATTACATATTTTTGGGTGGAATCTTTGTTCGTGCAATATTAGAAATTTCAACGCAATTTGTTGTTTAGCAACTTCACAAAAGGCGTTGTTTCGCAATTTTTAGCGCATTAATTTCTCAGTTCACAAAAAGTCGCAATTAGTTTCGTCCCACTGACCTGGATTAAAACCAAGTGTCGCCGATTCTTTTGCTACAGGTTGCCGGAAGTTGCTTAATGGACAGGTGCAAATTGGGTCGAAAGGTCCGAAAGTTCGATGACACCTTTTCTTAACTTTTTCAAAAGCGCAAATTTATTTATTCAGAAATGAATGAGGAGTTAATGCTACAAATACTAGATAAGTGCTTTTCTGTTATATGTTCATTGCGCATTGTGTGAATTTGAAGTGTTAACAAACTCGCCCACATGTCATCGCAGGGTGATGGCTTACGCAAGGTTGTAAGCCGCAAATTCGATTATCAAGAGCGGTGTCAATCGTATCCGCGCTATCATCGTAACTCGATCCGCGGCGTTGTCAGTAGAGGTAGACCATTTATGTCGGAGCATGTTGCGCATTGATCCGCGTGAGAGAGATTCCTTCTATGTTCGCGACAATTTCAAAGGTAGGAAGACCTATTTTAAACTACAATAATGGTACATCGCAAAACGTAAAACGCTCTCGTTTATTTTTTCCGCTCGACGAGAAAGATTATTCTTTTTATTACGCAATAATTGTACCAAGTCTCATTTACCGATGCATATTACAAATTGAACGATTAAAATTGAAATACCGAAGTTTGGAAATTTGTCAGAAATACTTTACATATTTCTTTTCGACTAACAAATATTTTAAGAAAGAAAGACGTCCACGCATAATTTCATTAAGATCTATGCTTTATTTCCACTTCCTTTTCATATTCTCTTGTGGTTCATCGTTCTTCTTGCACAGGTTTCCTCAGTCAAGTTCAAGGTTCGTATGTCCATTTAACTCGTTTGTAGCTTACACAGGCTTGGCCGCGTCGACCTCGTACGCTTAACACGTTTCGTAAAGACGAGCGAGAATCTGAAAATAGCATACAGCTAGATCACTGAAAAGCAAATGAGTTTTTTCGATACAAATTTATTTAAAAAATTCTACAACAACATAATCAATAAATTCTTTACACAATACGTTGTATGTGTGTATCAATTTCCAAAACTTTTTTTTCGGAACTAGATTTTGCTTTACTAAAATTTTTCTGTTGACGCAAACATTTAGATATTATTGCGAATCGTGAGCTGACTTGATCTAATAAATTTCCACCAGCATAAACGCCGTAAAACGCGTCGTTTAACACTGACAGAAAGTAAAAATATCGAACGTTATTTCTCCCGTTTTTTCTCAAACCCAGGAGATTCAATCGCACGTGTCTATCGATTAATTGCCTTGTTAATTGCCTTGCTAATTGCGGAAACGATCAAATTACCAGCAGGAAGCGAAGCCCGTCGTTTATCACTAGCCGACAGATACTAAACACTGCATCGATTCCCCCGTCGGTATTCGGGAGGAAAGGTCAGCACCGGCGCGGTCGGGGAATAAACTAGGGAGGCTACGGTTCAGGTTCAAGGTCGAGCGGAGCAGGAAGCAAGATGTGCAGCGCTGGGCCGAGGAGAGGGGAAACCGGCGAAATGCGCCGAGTCGATGATGGAAAAGCTCGTTCATCTCCTTCCCTCCCGCGCAATTGTAGCTGCAGTATGGATCGTTGGCAGCGGAACGTTGGCGATAGTCCATCCCGTCGAGATGGAGCTGCTGGAAGTCAGTGATGGATAACGGATTATCGGTCACCTCCCCTAAAGCTTTCGATACCCGAATATTCAACGCTACTTCTCAATGTCGATTCTCTCGAGTCTCTTTAAACGCGTGAAACTTTCTATTTAAAATTTCTCCGATTCATTCTGAACTTTTCTTTTCTCTCTTTTTTTTTTGTCCCGCAATTGTCGTTATTTGAGAAATGCAAAGGATTGATGCAGTATCCGATGGGAAAAGCTGAACTCGATTATAGTTATCATACTTTTCCCCTTCTTTCTTGCGCGCTGTTCTTCCGGTAGTGATCGATAATACCTCTATGACCTAGGCCTAGCCGGGGTTCTTGTCTCCTTTCCCCTTCCTATCCCTACTCTGTCACCAGCCGCCTACTATTCAGAACTACCAGCTGAGCTTTCCCACCTGTGGTTGCGGAGAGATTCCCCTCTTGCCGTGAGTTTTCTCCTTCTTCCGCTCTCGAGTTGCCGTTTCACTCGGGCCTTTCTATCCCGGATTTCACGGCCGATTGACACTTGTTGCGCCCGTCAGCCTCCGCCAATCACTTGTGCAATGCCTACCTGCGGCAAACTTGATTTCAAATGTCAAGGGGCCGGCTGTCATATCTTTCACGTTTTTTTTTTTTGCGTAAGATTAAGTTGTAGCGAAATGTAGCTCTTTGTTATATAAGATGCCTTTTAATTTGTGTCATTTACTCAACTCGGCTTTGATTTACTTTGGTTTCGACAGTGAATTGTGATAAATTCAGAGATAAATGGTAGGGAAAAATAAACCTTAATTACGAAAGATACAAAGTTTTTATTTTTGACACAAATCATAAACAATTATGTCCAGTGCAAATCTCCACTTGATATAATAAATAATCAATGAAACATTCGCATACAATCATTATGTAAGTAGCGAAATGACTGACACATCACAAGTCTGATTAAAATCAGGAAAGAATTGTAAAAGATTCGACGAAATAGTTTCGATAAGCACAGACGCATCTGTCCCTTTTATTCCTTTTTTTTTTCACTCACTTTATTTACTCATATATACTTTAAATCAGCACTCTTCTCTTCTCTATCCTTCAAACTGTTAATTCACTTTACGAGTTACGTTGAACGCAACGCGAGAAAATTGGTTTCTTATTTTTTTGTTCTCTCTTCCATCAACCACTTATGGACAGCAGCATCATGCTTTCAAGATGCTATTAAAGTCCCACTCTCGTTTTTTATTAACACGATATCTATCAAACTTTTCTCCTTTTCCAATGTGCACACAACGTCGTTCCCCGATGGTTCGATTACTCAACTCAATTTAACTTTAACGATTGGACTGGAATCAGAATGCTCAACATTATACGGCCATTGACCAAGAAATTGGCTCGCACAAAAGGAAATTGAAAATGTTGAAGGGTTTATGAATCAAGTGGGAGGAAAAAGAATGAGAAAAACGAAGGGGGGTTGATTGAGCGTATATGGGGTTGTTATCGATCCGCGTGTGCCACCACTTCCTCTGGGGCTGTCGCGCGCGTTCCCCACCCGTGCATTTCCTCCCTCTCTCCCTCTTCTCTCCTCCCGGTTCGGCACCACCCTCCGCCGCACTCAGTTTGGATTCCTCCAGCTCTGCGAGCGCTGACCGGCCGGGTTGCCGCTCGGCCCGGGATGCCATGCCCGAAGCCGCCGCCGGTTCCTCCGGGAAGTCGTTTCTGCAGCGGGCACGGGGCAAAGTTCTCCGTTGGCTACGACGCTCCCTGCGGACGACGTCTCAGGTGAAAGAAATATCCCCCGGGTCTCTCAAAATCTCGTCTACCCTAATCCCGCTGGCATTTGCAACTTTCTCATTCGTGAGAGAGCCAAAGTCTCTCCGTATTCATCCTGTAGCTGTTCTCCGAAATATCCTTTTGTGCTTGGAGCACTGTTCAGTGGAGTAGCAACTTAAAATCTGTGATGCTCATCATGCGAAGTGTAAAAGGTCAATTGAGGCAGCGGCTCGTAGACTTTAGACTTTGTGCGGCTTGACATATGTACGAACTCTTGTTTTTCCTTGTTACCTTTTCCTTGTTACTCGCCTTGAAAATCTGGAATTAATCAAATCTTTAAAGTAACTTATCAAAATGTAGAATGTTTCAAAATCCGTTTCTTCAAAAAATGACAATCAAGAAAGTATTAGAGATATTTCTATAATATATTTTTATGAGCAAGACCTATCGAAACAATGTATAATATAATTTATTTATCAAAAATACACTGTTACACAAGGAATATAATTTCATTATTTTACTTTTTCCGCAACGAAGCGGGTTTTTACGAAGATATTCTTATATGATTATTTGTGTTATCAAGATATTATTATCCATTTTTGCTTATTGCAAAAAAATTCTATTGAAAAAAAGTCATAAAAACCTCACGTGATCTTCTCACAAGATTAGAACGTTGTACCGCGTGAAACGACTATTTTCACAAGTTTCACCACGTTCTTGGAGGGTGACAATTCGCAAGAGAGAACTTGGCAGAATTACCGTTTGTCTTGATAGTCGTGCCAGATGACGTACCGGTGAGTCCGATGCTGCCCCGAGATTTGTTAGTGTAACGTAACGATAGACAAGTTTTGTAGACGTATTCTTTTCGCAACGATAGACAAGTTTTTTTAGACGTATCTTTCTCTTTTTCGTAATACTATAGAATGACATTAGCGCATTATTTTTGTCGCGATACAAAATTCAAAGTCACGTCGAGAGTGTTAACTTGATTCCGCGCGAGAGAAAAAAAGTTCCATGACACCGGTTTTATTGGAAAAACGGGAGTATTTCTGTGAAGCACAAATCTGTCGCGATAAAAGCTAAATTTTGATAAACGTGTTACCAAGATCGATTCTCAATGGCTCTTTGACTGTGAACAAGCATTGTGTGCTTGACCTGAGCTGATATTTTACTAACAATAAGCGTTTGACAAAGTTCAAACGGTGTTGAAGATCCAATTGTTGATTCTGCGAAAAAAAGTTTGATTGAGATTTAACTCAATCACACTAGACACACACAAGCGCGCGCTACACGCGCGCTATTTATTCTCTCTCTTTTGAATACAAAGAAGTATATATTATAATATATTATAATTCTATCCAAGAAAATAAATTAAACTTATTTTTTATTTTTTACGTCTAATACTAACACGTTCCGTGCTGCGCTTGTTTTGTGCTGCATAAATAATTACATGACTCACTGATGAGGACCGAATTTGCGTTTATAATTTATGTATGCAATAAAATAAAAATTATAAAAATATTATTAAAAAGAAACGTACAAAATGCGCTAAAAAACAGAATTAATAAGTATTTTTATTGAAATAATTTATGAAATTAATGCAACATTGCAATATATATTGTATTATGTTAAAGCATGATAAATAATTTTGATCTAATTTTTCTCTTAAAGTGAAAAGCGCTTAATTGTCACTTAATTAAGCGCTTAAAGTTCATCGTGAGTTATCGGTGATGCACGTGGCACGGAATATGTTAAAAATATTCTTATGACACTGAATGATATACAGCATCATAAGTGCATCAACAATTATATCTGTATCTGTAATCTCAGGTCGACGGGCATGGCGCGGAAATGGGACCGGAGCTCGACGAAGAGATGGAGAAGGTCTTTGCGATGGACACCGGAGAAAAATTCGACGTAGCCCGACTCGGTTCGCCCTCGGAATCGGCTGGATCCGATCGAGATCGCGATCGTGGATCATTATCGCGATATGGCGACCGCGACTTCAATCGTAAGCATTATTTTTTTTACTTTTTCAAATCGGAAACAACGAAAAAAGTTGCATTATTTGGAAATTTTTGTACTACTTGAACTTTATGTGCATCATCAAAAGATTTTAGGCGCTTTAATCTCTTCTATATAAAATTTCATCAAAATTAATGCAAAATTAATTATGTCAATTGAATATACTTGCGAACAATTGTTCTAACATGGTGCATTTTTTAGTAATTTGCCGTCTGCGCTTAAGAACTCTTTTTCAATAAGATTTTTTGTTATATTTCATATCTTTGTGTATTCTCTGTTTGCGTTGCTCTTTTTTATACGACAGAGTTTGCTATTAAACAAGAAACATAGATAAGTAACTAAATGATCTGTAGAACACCGAAAAAGGAGTTACCCTCATCCGCACATGCCCCTGAAGAGCCTGCATTCCAGATCTATGCGGCGACACCTTTCACCGTAAGTAATATTCATTAAAAGGAAGACACACACACACACACACACGCATGAAGCGAAGTCTATTTTGATGCGATATTTCGCTGATTGGATTTCGTCAACGAAAAAGCGACTTTATCTCTAATGTATTTTGATTAATTTATGTTAGTATTCTTAATAATTCTTGAAATTTGTGCAGCGTTTAACTTAATTAAATATAATTAAATGTAAATTAAAATAGATAGATGTAAAAAAAAAGATGTTGCTCTGAGAAATAACTTGACCTGATTTTTGAAGCTTTCGCGTGTGGCCATTTTTCCTCTGACAACTGAATTTAGAAAATCTTATATTTTTCCAACGTCCTTAGTGAAGGATCGGCGGCGGAAGTGTCCGCTGAGGAAGATCACGACAGCGTCCAAACGAGGAGTAAAGAAGTTCATGAGATTGACGGATTAAACAACAGCCAGCAGCCAATCGTCGCAACTGAAACCCAAGCCGAAGTCGACGAGGAAACGGCGGAGGAAACCGAAAATGTGGGTAGCAGCGAGAGCGAGGCGCCAATCTCGGAGAGGGCGGCTTCCGGTTTCAGCGAAAGCCCGAACGTCGGCAGTCCAAGAGTGCAATTTGAGAAAATCAAGGAGGAAGATGCACCGAACGTGCAAGCACCGGAAGCGCCAATGGGTGCCGACGCTCCGAGCCACGAGGAAGACCGCAAGTGTCGACGACATCAGAAGCACGAACACAAGTAAGTCGACTCGATATTATACGGCTTACAAAACACAAGAGAAAAAAAAAGATCACAATCCATACTTGACACCTTGAGTTCAGATCTTAATAGTAATTTTTATTTCGTGCGATAGTAATAAAGCGGAGAGAATAACATCTCAACTGTGAGACGGAAATACGGGTCAGAATAACTCGCCGGTTTGAATATCGCGTCTGCGGATATATCACGTGCATGAAAACCAGATCATCCTCGATATTGAGGCGAAAGTTTAAAACGACCGACGGTCGCATTTCATGTCACGATTTTACGGATTCATACCTTGCGCTGCATCAATGTAATTATGTACACGAAACGGTCGACCTTTATTCCGTACCATCCCGGGCGGCGAGCTAGATTCACAGCGCGACAATTCCGGTACGGAGCGGTACCAAGCCGAGTTGATCAAAGATTTGCGAGGTGTGTTAAAAAATGTATACGTACATCAACGACTTGATTTAGATTGGACTCTTCCTCACAAATAAAAACTCTACGCGAGATAGAAAATGAACTGTTTCCACGAAATAAATAAAACAGTATAGCCACGAGAAAAAGATAAGGATAATCAAAGCTCGAACGTGTACGTAGCTGCGTAAATGAATCGCTATTATGTCAACGGTAAATCTATACGCCAATTTATGTTGTAAGCTCTGATTGACTCTTTTCTTCCCATTTCTCGTTTTATTTCTTCTCTAAATATAAGTATGCTTCGCTCTTAAACGCGTGACCTAATTAAATAATATTCTTTTCAGACGTTACCACTACAAATCTCGTAAGTACTCTCTGCAGGAGGACCCACAATGGCGAAAACGGTCGGGAGCCGGTCTCCCGGACAGCTCGAGCCTGCTAACCCGACGCGTCAGCGTTCAACCGGAAGAAGCGAGCACTCTACAGGAACTTGACATTGACGATTTGGAATCACATCGTAGCGATGATCCGCGCGGCATGCGTCGGCATAAAAGCGCCTTTTCGACGGTGCAGATCGGACGGCGGAGGGAAGGTGGCATACCGCACGATACCTTCAAGAAGATGTACGATCACTCGCCGCATGAAGTGTTCGTCCAGTTGGACGAGCTGCACGGCTTGGGTGAAGAGCGCGAGTGGCGAGAGACTGCCAGATGGATTAAATATGAGGAGGATGTCGAGGAGGGTGCTGACAGGTGGGGCAGGCCTCACGTGGCCTCCCTTAGTTTCCACTCGCTGCTGAATCTACGTCGTTGCCTGGAAACCGGCGTGGTTCTTCTCGACTTGGAGGAAAAGGATTTGCCTGGTTTAGCCTACAGGGTGGTCGAGCAGATGGTTGTTGAGGAGCTGATTCTATCCGAGGACAAACCGGTTGTGATGAGAGCGCTGTTGCTCAGGCACAGGCACGTGCACGAACACGAACGTGGCTTCCGATTCGGCGGCAAAAGGAGCTACTCCAGCTACACCAGTCTTCAGGTAATTCGCCTAGTAGTGACAACGCTCGCTATGTGTCCGTCGTGCGCGCGGAAGCGGCCGACTTTTAACTGCCAGACTCGCACACGATCATTGCTTGTGTTAGGAAATAAATAAGTGTCGACGAATGGTGGAGAGATAATCGATATTACTCAACAGGTTATTGTTTGCAAGCTTCAGGGTTGCTATATATAAATTCGATTTGACGAGTCCCACCTCTCAGTCTTTGCTATTTCATATACATAACCCTGGCTTCGTACATTTCAAATTTTATATATGTATACATGTATAATATATACTCTGTATATTATTATTATGTATTGTTTTCGATAATATGTCGAAAACGAGAAATAATCGCGACAAAACTCTCACTGGATGCTGATGTATTACCGCCATATTTGCGTTGAGATTTAGAAGAATGAGTTTCTTTATACGAATTCCGCGGTCTACGGGAAGATCACCTGCGAGAGCGACGTGTCGCGAACAGTAGTGAGTAGCCGTAGCGGATGATAGCGGGAAATAGATGACTGACAGTGTGCTAATGTTATTTCCACAGTCCATCTGGCTGGAGGAAGAAGATGCTGCGCGGGAAGCCGCTGAGAACCATGTAACCCAACATGTAAATCTCTCGTTTCCCGAATCAAACGCAGTTTTTTTTCATTCTTACTGCTGATTCTTCACTCTGTTTACTCGCACTTTTCACACGAGTTTTTTTTTCTTTTTTCTACTTTTGACCGTAAACTCGGCATGATTTTAAGGGGCATTGGGCGTATACGTCCAGCGATTTTATGAAATCTTGTCTTGAAAAAAATTAATTACTGGATTAATACACGGGGAAATAATTTCTTGGGTGAAGTCTCTCAATATTTTTAATTTTATACATGTTTTCTATGTGTGCTTTGTACGCTTAATACCAACAATATATTAGTACAGAGTTTACACTTATCACATTAGACCATCATTATCAGTTCTATAATTAAATATGGCACACAACATTGATCAAGATAGTTTCTCATAAAGTTATAGTTCAGTGTAAGATCCATTTTAGCTGTAGTCCTTCATTTTTTTAGTCTTAGCGTGGTGAAACTGGTGAAAAGCTTATTTAAAGGAAACCGAATTTTTGCACCGAATCCTTCAATTTGGACTGAACAAGTGTCACAATTCGCAAATCTGAATAAGCTTGCAACAACAAGATCGAAACGCCTACAGCTTGCAATTTTTTCATTGTGTTTCGTCTCCACCTTGTTAGTACGACTGGCTTTAAAGTCTGAATTAAACTGACTCTAGAAATTCGTGTAGTGTCGCTCGTTAATTGTTAGCGAACACTACGAACGCTTGCAGTCATGTATTGCTCTTTTATTCATTAGATTTGACTTTCATAATTTACTATTTTCTTTTGCCCAAGTTTATGTATTGAAGCAAATCATGATATGACGCGTCCGTTGCATCAAACTATTTCACGCACTGCGATATCTCAAAGATCGACTTCTCGAATTGTTACCTCATATTTTTGTGTATTATATTATGTAGTGTATGCGTATCTAAATATACTGTAACGATAATGAATTTGGCATAGCGGTTTTCCACTTTTTGGTTCTAAATTGATATTTCTAAT